ATTTAAACAGACATGCATTTATTTTCATTTTCAACTTTTAATTGTAGACACTTGCAGCTTTACAAATCTATAAGGTTTCCAGCCTGAACTCATCTTCTGAAAGACCATGGAGAAATTCATTGTGCAGGAGACCTCTGAAGTAAGAATGTTGTGTGTGTGGTAGGGGCAATCCATTGTTACTGAATTTTGTGTGAGGAGATGCCCCTGAAAATAGCTGCAAAAGTCAGTAATGCCTTAACTGAGTTGCTAATGGACATTTCTGAACTTGTTAATTCACCCATATTTGAGCACCCAGGGGACATTTCAGTTCAGATGGAAACACTGTTAGAATTTGCAGCAGAGCAGAAAGCCAAGAAACTTTGCACTCTGTAGATGTTGTGGATAGGCCACTTTGTTCTTACATTTGCTGTAAGTAAATGTATGATTTTTTATATCCCCAAGAATACATTTCCTAGGAAGGATAGGAGGTCTGCAGAGGGACCATCAGCATTACGTGCTGCCGTACATGTTAACAGTTGCTGGAGAAATACCGTGTCCCATCCCTGTTATCTAACTGGGGATGCATGCACATTCTTCCATATTCATGACATGTTTTGGGACTAATGCAGCATGTAGGTTTGAAACTGCAAAGTTACCTCCACTTCTCCAAACACAGATCATACATACCATGGGTTCTGCAAGCATGAGCAAGCCCACCTGACTGGAGGCTCAAGCTGCCGCACCTGGAGTGTGATAAAATGCCCTGTAAAAAGGCACCATCCAGCAATTGTTTGCAGTCTGCCCATTACAACCTACTGGGGCCTTTTTGTTTCTTTCATCCATGTCACTGCTAAGCAGCTTGTTTTTCCATATGGAATTTATTCATTTTGTTTTATATACTGCTGAGGGCTTTAAAAGGGAGAAATGAAAATACTAGATCAGCGCATGTTGATATGCATGATGCCTGTTTTTCTCTGCAAAGCATTCTGCTATCTTGACCGGAACGCACTGTTTTTTTTTCCTATGCATTTTTATGCATTGTGACAGTGTGGGAGGACCACATGTCACCACTTTGTCTTATTTTGCCAGTGACCTTTCCATCACCCTACACGCACTCTTGACTGTAAGTAGTGTGTCTCATCGCGTGATGTCTGCAGGAAGTTGATGGAAAGAAAGAAGGAAAAAAAAAAAAAAAAAAAAAAAAAACCCACAAAGAAAAAAAAGAGAAAATAAAATAAAAGAGAAAAAATATAGATATCAATAATAAGCAGTATCAACAAAATCTAGCAAATCTATTTCTGCTTTTAGTGTAAATAAATGTGAGGAAGCACATGGATGAATGCTGTACTGTATGCTGAGGTAGGTGTCCTGTTTTTGAACTGCAGAGTGTGAAAGAGCCAACCCAGCAGCCCATGACAGAGCAACATCTAAAATAACATTTTTGTATTTACACAGACTCGAGCCACTTGTTTCTCCTTCCTCCCCACTGCATTTCTCAAATAAACTGCTAACTACAGAAGGGCAGGGTGGAGTAATTCTTAAGGCAAACAGTACAAAGCTGTTTCATTCCTGCATGACTCACTGCATGGCCTGGTTCATCTGTCCATCATCTGTCACATCTGCAACTGAGAATAAACTTAGATAGGCACAGGCAAAGTCTTCCTCCCAGGGTTGAATGTTCTAGTGCTATGTACCAGCACTGGCATTCAGTGACCTGGTGCAGTTGAGGAGTGATTCTCCACTGTGTTTTAGTAGGGATGAATTGAGTCAGGGACCAGTTTCTAGCTGTTAGTGTGAGGAGCTTTTTGATCAGAATTGACAGTTGGTCAGAAATGAGTACTTAGAAAAAAGAATTGAAAAATCGACTCCCGAAAGAAAAAAAAACACCAAAAGATACAGAACTGTAGATGCACCCTGTTTAGTTTGATAGAAATACTTCTGACCTAATGACTGTGGCTTTTCCAAAGATCTGGTGAGGATGCACCCAGGGGACACTGAAGATCAAAAAGAAAAAAAGCAAGAGCTAGTTGATTCAAGGGCAATCTCCTCAAATCCCAAACGTGGTATGTCCTGATGTGCAGGAAGCTGAACTGTGGCAGGACTTCAGCTCAGCTGAACTGGGAATCCCGGACAGAGCTTAACTTCAATGTTGGAAGAAAGTGCAAGAGGAATGTCTGGGAGCAGTGTAGAAGCATGTCTCAAGATTTTAGGTTATGTGGTAAAATTAATTTGCATTCCCACAAACAGGCATAGAGAGACAATGGTAGGTGAGGAAGTAGAAATAAAACCCAGCTGAGTTCCACCCAGGCCTATCACAGAGGCTGTGAACTCATCAGAGGCTCATCTGCACAAGCACAACAGAGCACAGGGACACAAAGACAAGCAGGGACATAGGTCAAGGGCTCTGGAGGGTCAACCACCTTGCCTGGGCCTTTCCCAGGGCTGTACCAGTGTGGTATCCATCATAGTGGCCATCAGGAGCAGCTCTCTGAATCACCTTGAGCTGTGGGTGCTGCTGCTCAGGGGATGCAGGGACAGAGCATTTTGTGACTTTCTTCAGGGTTTTTAGGGGGAAGAACTGAAGGTAGGATGAGGGAGGATCAGCTGGACTCAGCCCACAGGCTCGAGGGCCTGTTGTATGCATGTGGTGACAGTGACTGGAGTGACTGCAGCTGTGTAATGAGTATCAGGATCAGCAAAGCTTGATCCGGTGAGCAGGTGATGTTAGCCATCAGGTTTTAAAATAAACACATCCAGTTTGACTGATTGCTAAAAATGCATGGACAGCTAAAGATGTTATAAAAATAAAGCCGTCTTGCCAGTTAGACATTAGCATTGTGAAACAGAAAAGGAGACAAAGTATGTCTTTTCCAGAAAGAAAATATTCAGTAAATGCCGTTTTTTGAAAACCCATGGTATCATTCACCAACATACATCAGAAGGGACTTCTGATCCCACCATTTGTTTGCTCAAGGTTTCTGATACACATCCATCAGCCATTTCAAAAAGAGCATTTTTGCATTTTTTGCTTCACAGTTTCTTACACAGGCCAAGTGGCATGTTTGTAACAAAACAAAGCCATAGCGAGGGTTTGTGCAATGTGCTAACAGCTCCCCTGCAAGCACTCTGCTGGAGCAGTGAGACCACAAGCTGTGGAGAAACTCCAGAACACTGTGAGTAAACAAGCTGCTTCACTCTTCTGCACCTTCACCTTTTGTTGATATGCCTTTCTACTTAAATGTGTCAGAAAGCAATGGCTTTGACAAAGTTTAAATAAACATTCTTGAATTTAGCACTTAATTCACTGATCTGCAGACTAGGAGGCACAAATTGAATGAATTCAGCATAAACCATGTTGTGAAGAAAATATATATATATTTTTTTTTATCAATAAATGTTTATTTATACAGAATGGAACAGCTGCAAAAGAAGAGACTGCCTGAAAGTTAGAGATACAACAAAGCTGTGACTTAGTAGGTAGGGATCTTCTGATTGCATGAGCAGGCATCCAACTTGGGGCTGTTTAATAGTCTGACGAGGTTGCCGTACTTCTTACTGCAAACCACTTTTCAAAGTTTACTTTTAGTGCAGAGGAAAAACAAATTCATCTCACCAGCTTTCCAGGGCTTGTTTTCTGGCCAGTACTAATTTTGTTTCCTGGCCAGTGCTAATTATTATGCTGCTTACACATTTTGGAGCAAAGTACCCAGCAGTCTGTGGCAGTCAAGGAAACAAAGTTGATATAAAAGTTTGCTGTGCAGGCACAAGGTTGTGTAAATTGCAAAGTTTATCCTGAACGAACTACAGGATGTAGATGTGCCCCTTGGAATGGATCAATGTGAACATATAACAGGAAACCTGACAAATAAGCCATATGCTTTTGTATACGTGTGTTTAAATATTTGTCCAGGATTAGATGCTGTATCTTCCAAGTTTATCAGTTATTCTTACTGTCTTTAGATTCTTTTTGTATGATACATGCCATAAGATTTACTAGTAATCACTCTCCTTTTTCATATTATTCCAGCAGCTCCTATTTTATGTAACCACATTCTTTTGGGTAGTGGTGACAAAAGTCGAGATGACAGCCAAGAGATTTCACTCAGCTTTGTGGAAATATCAGCTCTGAGCTTTCTGGCACCTTTCATTAAAACAGAGATCTTCCTTGTCAAATGGTCACAAGTAAAGGACTAATTACCCTAGTACCTATTACTTGAAGAAGTGCGTATTATTAAATATAATTTCCCACTTCTTTTCCCTTTTATAAAACTTTTAACATTGTCTTTTTTCACCCATATTCTGCTAAAAGTATGAGGTAACTCATCTGAACTGAGGATCAGATTCACTTTTGCTGCAGGTGGCAGGAAATAGCAGAAGGCAGATGATGAGGGGCTGCCCAGACGAGGTGGATACTCTGGCACAGTGTGAGGGCCAGGTATGTGCTGTGCTCCAAGGCTCTAGTTTCCGCAGCCCCTCTGGCTGCCAGCCTGCACTTGAGATGCACTGCTGCAGGGGAGACAGTCTCCTCTGAGCTTGCCTTTGTAATTCCCAGAGATATACAGGAATTCAGCTACCTGCAAGAATCAGCAGATAATAATCTTCACCTTGTAAATAAAATGGCAAGTAAATTTAGAGTGGGCAGAAAGTGGAATTAGGAAAAACCTGAAAATCAGAACAACACTTGTCAGCTGCTTGAGCCACCCTAACATTCGTCTAAACTAAGATGCCATGCCTCACCATAGTGAGCTATTTTAAGACAAACCTTTTGGCTCTGCTAAAAGCACCGTTCTTCCAATTTACACTGTCTGTTGTTGTGTAGGATATACACATTCCAGCAAATTATAAAGAAAACTATCACAGAAGTTAGCTTCCTTTGAACAACTAAGTGTAATACAGATTCTTGAGATTGAAGTGGACGTTTCACTACATTTGAGATGGCTGATTGGAAACACGGTCATGTCAGCTGAATATCTCACCAGGCCAATATGACAAAAATAAACACCAGCAGCATTAAAAGGGCAGAGAGGTAAACAAGTTGTCCTTGCTTTATTCGCATTAATTTTTACTCCAGAGAACTCAACAGTTTGCATTTAAGAGCAGGTAGAGCAGACAAGAGCAGACATACTTGTGTTCATGCACATACATGCTGATAAAATGAATTATTCTGAATTACAGTTCTGTTTTTGTCAGATACAACAAGCAGAAACAAAATAGGTTAACAGAAGGGAGAATGGAAATAATCATCCTTGTGATAACGGAGAATGCGACACAATTGAGTCTACGAGTGGTCCAAAAAATGGGCAATGATAGGAAATACTGAATTAGTATCAGTAGCTTCCGCAGGTTTGTCTGCATAAATGCAAGGCACCCTGTGATGCTATGGTAAGTGATACTCTCATTTGCCATGAGTAGTTGAGTACTAACAGACCTATTCCAAATAGTGGCATCAAACTAGATTCAAAATGAAGCGATAGGTATATGATGTCTTCAATGAAATATTGACCCCTTAAAATGTTTTCCCCCTTGAAATGCAGTTTCAGACAGCTGTATCTCCAGCACTGCTAGTACAAAGTATGGATGACTGAACATTTTGAATCTGTATTTGAACATCATTTGAACATCTGTTGAACATCAGCAGGCATTCAGACATTGTAATTTCTCAGAATGTGACACAGCTTTTATATGAGGCGTTTTGTTAGTCAGAGCATTTACCAAGTGTTATGCACTATGCACCTACTGTATGGTCATAGAAATAGCTGAGAGATAAAGGATTTTCTTGCATGCAACTTTTTGCTAACATCTCTCCCTCCCCCAGGGAGTAACAAATGACCTCATTGTTTCTCACTCCTGTCCTGCTGCTTCAGAGATGCTGGCTACACTGTTCTTTCACATTAATTAAAACAATTACATTTAACTCAGAAGAAGAGATCCATACTCAGCTTGAAATTTGCTGCGTTGAAGATCTGAGGAAGCCTCTGTATTTAAAACTTTGCCTTCTTCTCCTAGCTATATTTGCTGGTTTGCCAAAAATCTCTACAGATGTTCCCGAGCTTTTCCAACAAGTTTAAGGCACTTTATTCAAAAGATATTGGAAAGAAATAACTGCTGTCTTTGCTACTCAGTTGATGTAGTGGGAAAGAGTGAAAGAATGTTGGAAATGAGAAAACAGTGCAAGATGTTTCTGAGTATGTTGGTCTTGTCATAAGTGAGTCCACTGAACAAAGGTAGATTCTTGTCTGAATTTGAAATGTTATAAATCTACTCCCTCACATCATGGCTGATGACGTGTGGAGCCTTCTAGACCTGGTGATGCTGGCCATATTGCTGGTTATGCTGTGGCCAGGAAATAGCCAGCTGAGGAACAGCTGGAAGCAGTTAAGAGTAAAATACTGCATGTAAGAACGTGTGCCTTGCATGTCCTGTAACTATTACATCCATATAATAGTTTCAGTTAAGTTTGGTTCAAACACTATTAAGGAAAATGAGTTTAATTTTTCCCACTATCTCACCTATCATGTTTTCTGTCAGGTAAGTTATCTTAAGTTCTCCCATTTGAAATCCTATTTCCTGCTCCCATTTACCCTCCTACTGGGCAAAAAGTTTTGTTTTCCTTTCTGAAATACATGAATAGAGAGAAAGCATTATTCTCAGTTTCATTCTAGAGAATTTGGATAATAGGAGATAGCAAGGGAGTTCTGTACGAGAAAAGGAAAAGATAGGTGAGGCTTTCTAGCAGCAGTAGAATTTTTTTGTACTATTAGTAGTTGAAATCTGGATAGAAGTATGCAGGGTTTTAACATGCATGTTTGCCAGTCCCAGAACTTGGGTGAAATTGTGGTTAGAAAATAATTGAAGCCAGCCAAGTCAAGAGAGGATTTGGATTCAGTCTATTCACTTAGTATACTAAAGCAGATCTAAACAAAAAGGCTACAAAGGAAACAAACATGAGCCTGTTCCAGCTGCCTCCTCTGTCTGAAGATATAGGTCCTCTTTGTACTGCTGGTGCAGATCTAAAGAAAAGAAAACAAACAGGATGTTCACAGCACAAAGCTGATCTAGGATTCTTTTAAATATCAGAGGTTTGTTGCCAAGGGTGAAGTTTGCAGTTCAAGTACTAACCCAGAAGATTCTTTGTAAGCTTGATACCAGGTTCCCTTCAGCTGTCATGATTTTATAAACAGATTTACCTGCGTGCAGAGCCCTGAGAACACTTCTTTCTACTTAGTCTGTGCATACTACCTGCACCTTCTTTTATCTCCATATCCATGTACCATCTCTGGCTTACAATTGAGATAGTATAGAGCTCTTCTAGGTGGCAGTAGTTCTGAAGGTCTATATTTTTAGAGTCTCCGTACAGTATCCAGATCTATTTCCGAGACTCACTGACACTGCAAAAACGCAAGTAATAAATATCTCTACTAACTGCTGGCACTGGGCTGCCTTTCCGCTTTTTTAAAATACATCTCTGCCACCTAGTGGGCAATTTTTTGATTACACGATTTCTTCAAAATAGGTAACAAAGCTCAAAAATTTTGGCTCAGGAGAAACACAGTTCAAATTTGGAGAGGTGTGAAGTTCACACTTTAGAAGCCCTACGTGGATCACAGCACCTTCTAAGCCATTCCTCTGCTACCCTGAGCCAGCCCTCTCCTTTGCAATGCTGAGGTAACAGGAACTGTGGTCACAAAAAGTCACATGCATAACTGATGGCTTTGGGCTGGAGACATCAATCTCCAGAAGATAAGAAACAAGGTATGAATATTGTAACAGCAAACAGCCATACTGGCAGGAGATGCAGCAGAGCCCACATGCCTACTCTCAGTATTTATTACTGAGGTATTAAAATGTCATGTGTGTACACCAAGTACACAAAATGCAAAAGAAGCCTCTTCTTAATGGATATCATAGAATGGCTTGAGTTGGAAAGAACCTTGAAGATCATCCAGTTCCAACTCCTTTGTCATGGGCAGGGACACCTCTCACTGGACCAGGCAGGCCAGGGCCCCATCCAGCCTGGTCTTGAACAGCTTCAAGGATGGAGCCTCACAGCTTCTCCAAGCAGCCCATGCCAGAGCCTCAGCCCCCTCATGGTGAAGGATTTCTTTCTAACATTTAACCTAAACCTCTCCTCTTTTAGTTTAAAACTGTTACCTCTTGTCCTATCACTACATGTCCTTGCAAAAAAGTCTGTCTCCATCTTTCTTGTAAACCTCCTATATATAAATACTGGAAGGCCGCAATGAGGTCTTCCCAGAGCCTTCTCTTCTCCAGGCTGAACAACCTTGATTCTCTCAGCCTCTCTTCATAGGGGAAGTACTCCAGCCCTCTGATCATCTTCATGGCCTCCTCTGGACCTGCTCTAACAGGTCCATGTCCTTCCTGTGCTGGGATATATGCTGTTAATAGCGACACCATTAATGACCAAACTCTACCCATGCCAGTTAGTGGACCATCACAGAGGAAGAATCCATCTACAGAGAAAACAGATCTATAAGATGAACATCAAATAATTTATAAAATATCTGCTTAAGGGTTCTTTTTGAAAGGATGGCCAATTTTAATGGAGAGGTTATTTTTACAGAGAAGTAAGTATTCTTTTGTATTAAGTATTTTGGCTACTAAAATTTCTGGGATAGGCAATAATATTTAGCATGCAGATTGGGAAGCTCTGTCTTGATCAGGGATAGCATAGATTTGAAGTGGATTAAGCCTATTGCATTGCCATGCACATAAGAGGGAATAGGAAGCTCAGGAAGAAAAGAAGCAAGGAAACTTTTCCTGAGGATGATAATGGCTGAGTTGTTCAGTAATTACTCCAAGAGATAATTACTCCAAGGTGCTTAGGACATGCTAGTGATTATGTTCATTTTAGTACCAACAAGGATGGATGGGAAGAGGTCACTGCTGCCCTGCAAACAGTATGTGGTACTGCAGAAATGGTATGCCCATCCCTTAATTGAAAAGAAGAAGACAAAAAGGTTTCCAAAAGCATTTGCATCCAGATTTCCTCAGCTGAGGAATGCAACTCAATGACAAAACCTTGAGACAAACGGATTAAAACCTAGGTGGAGAGAATAGTCTTCTGCTAAGAGTTCACAGTACTGTATTTTATAAAGTCCTTTTCCAGTTTGCGAATACGATCACTGTGTTCACAGCTGTGATTTTGCATGGAACAACTGGATTTTCCTTTGACATATATGAGCAAAGCCTTATAATTCACTGGCAGAACAAGGAAACCATATTTTAATCAACTCTTCAAGTGGTATCCAGTAATAAATAAATGCCTCAGGAAGTCAGGAGCAGTTTATTTCTTATATCCGGTAACTGAAAGGATTCTAGAGCTATCAGTCATTTCTACAATCCCACTGTTTTCATTGTACATTTCTGGGTGGGTGCTGGGGCATAATTTTGATGTAAGAATAAACATTGCCATGTGATGAGTGACCAGAACAAACAGAGTATAATTTTCTCCGTAAGGCTGCATTAAAAATTGAACATATGCTGTGGATAGCAACATACACCTCCTTTGTTGTGCTAAAAGAGGCATTACTGCCACACAGTCTCAGTTCAGAGGCAGGCAGAATGCATCCAAAACTGCATGTAGGAGTTGTGTGCTGCCATATCCAGAGAGAGCAAACTGGGCTATTGGCAGCAGAAGTTATTGCAGCATTATGCGGGTTTTAACATGCAGAATATTTGCAGGTGTCTGAATTAGGGCAGGAAGGGCAGTAGAAGATAGAATGTGGACAAATGTATGGATTGTGAATAAAAATAATAAAACTAGAGAACAACTTCACATTTGTGTACCCTGCAACTTTCCAAACTGTGAGGTAGCTTTCATATTCAGATGATCAAATATTCTACATGTGTAACAACATGTAGCTTACACGACATATGAAAACAGCCATCTTTCAAGTAAAATTAACTGAAATAAAATATAAATTAATTTACTTCTCTTTATGCAGAAAAGAACAATATTGATTGGAAGGAAAACAAAGCACATTAAGGGAGTGATGCTTGCTCAGTAAAAAATGTGTATTTTGGATGTAAAGTGCTTTCTCTGCAAATAACCTACTGGACAAAAGTAAACATATTAAAACGTAGAAATTGAGTTTGCATATAAAATGGAAGATAAAATATCTTCCTCAAAATTTGGAACTGAAAGTTCCAGTAGTTGGATAAATGTTCTCTAGTTCTATTGAAATTATTTCATTATTTTATTATCTGTGCATATTAACAAAAATAATTCAAGATTTGGAATAGATTTTGCATTAGAACACTCATGTTTACAAACTTCATTCATACCATCAGACAATGATTGTGTGATTAAAGAGAACTAATTTACACCTAATTTGCCATAGCAGGGACTCACTGACAATTGTGCACAATTTGCAGCCACAAATCTTTTACTCAATATACAGTAAGTAATAAACTTTGGAATAATGCACATTGCTTATGGATTACGTATTTATGATTGAGATGGAATATTAATTGTTGGCTTCTGCATTTTTCACATGGTTATAAGGAAAGCGAGGATGGACTGAACTTCTTTTACTTACGATGAAAGGGTACACTTGGAATGGTCAGGATTGTCCAAGCAGAGTAACAACATTACAGGCCTGTGAAGAGACGGTTTTGTTTTCCATCTTTCAGATTGAAAACTAAGGAAAACTAATGAAGAAACCAAACTCGACAGCACTACCATGTCTGAAGATTCCCTACAGCGATACTCTGAACTGGAGCTGTAAATACTATTGTTACTAAATAGTAATTCTACAGATATTCAACAGATTTAAACTACTGCTTAGATTTTCAATCCAGATAAACATTTTACAGCAAACTGGAATACGAGGCCATCTTCTGTGTCTAAACCTGGATAAGTACAATGCTGCACTTACTTATGCAATCATACAATAAGATGTAGTACTTTGCTGAATTCATTGCTCTGAAATGCCAAGTCTAAAAAATGTGGTATCAGCTCTCTAAGAAACAAGTTTCTTACCGGAGTCACAACTTCAGAGGCACTTATTTGAAGTGAAGCAATAATTTAAAGTACATCAGTTAGATTAATTGCTTCTGCAAATCCACTGCATTTATGAAGGATTTTCACTTACTTGTAATCGTCAGTGCAGACGACATCATAACCAAGGGCTTTCAGCCTGTCTTCTAATATCTGTACAGTATTATATCCACAGGAATCTCTGTGAGAAAGAAGTTGAATATTATTGCAAATATTTTATTTTCTATTTTCCTTTGAACTATTATCTAGTTCCCATTGAACTTGATGGAATTCGTAAAGGAAATCCCCACTATTTGTCTCTTCTGTGTTCCTTAAAGCACATAGAAAACTGATGTAGTTTGCTATTTATAATCCTTCATTTGCTTACAGATGTTTAGCATTTTACACACTCAGTTTGCAGAGACTTATGATTGGCTTCAACCTGTGTAGAATTTGCAGATTCTATTAACCAGAAATATTTCAGATTCCATCTACAGAAACAGGAAAAGAGACAATTTTGTAAAATAATACATAAGGCTTTCATTTTTCATACTCTTTGGCAGCTATTTAGTTGGTGATAAAGTTGATGATGTCTTTACAGAATAAGCTGGATATAATAAATTAGAATCATTCTTGTAGTTAAAAGTTTGCTTCCCTTCTTGAATACAATGCTAAAACACGAGAACACAGAAAAAATCAGGAATAATCCAAACCACAGTTTTTGTGCCTAGCACTGATTTTTTTTTTATTTGGTTCAATCAACAAAGAAAGCTTGGCATAGCAATGAACCTACTGAGATCTCTAAGACTTGCACCAGTGTCAAGTAGTAAGGCCACTATTAGTTACCCATGACTCTAAGAAAATCATATGGTATCAAAAATCACTCTTCATAAAGTATATAAATATTCCCATGCATCCAGCTAACACAAACTGAAATATAATCTCAGTAGAAATTCAGTGCTTGTTCTAATTCTTCTCTGTGATAAGGGCTACTTCTGCAAAGGTGAACTATACTTTTTTTCCAGATATGATTCTTCGGTTTTAAAAGAAAGGCTCAGAAATGTTAACATAAAACATGCTTATACTTGCTTCTCTTGTCATAGATTCCATAGAACTACAGTAAAATATTGCTCTGGGTTGGCAAGAGCAAAATGTAATGAAAGAGAAGCAAATGGAAAGAGATGAGATGTGAAAGAGAAGGATAAAAAAGAAGAGCATCCTCACACTCCAAAGAATCCACGTGACATCAGAGATTTAGCTGCTTGTGGTGGATATGGTGACATCTGAGGCTGTTTTTCTTGCCCCATTCAGCCAGAGCACTTTTAAGACCAATTAAGAGCTATCACAGAATCACAGGGGTTGAAAGGGACCTCAAGAGATCATTGAGTCTAACCTCCATAACAAAGCAGGCACTCTAATACAGGTTGCACAGGTAGGCATCCAGACGGGTCTTTAATACCTCCACAGAAGGAGATACAATACAGTAAATTGCAGGGACTGTGGAGATGGTTGGAGTAAAGTTCACTTCTTCTACTCCTCTACCTTTGATTCACCTATGCATGATGACTGCTTCTCTCCCTCATAGAGAGCGAACTTTCCCCCAGAATTTATAATTAATAGACCACTTAATTTTTCCTTTACCAAGGCCTATCACCTTGCATAACAATTCTGTTACCTACAAAGTCCATTTTCTACCATGTTTCTATTGAAAATCTTTACTTCATTTTTGGCTATTCTTTTTAGACTGTTTTGTTTGTTTGTTAGTTTTTAAATAAAATTAACTGCAGAATGAGACCTGTTAAAGCTTACTCTTTATTCTTGGATTGATTTTAAGTTATGAGAGAAGATGAGCCTAATTGTGGCATTTCCATGCTTCTACTGATTTCCAGAACAGTTAAGATAAGTGAAAATCAAAATAATGTATTTGGAAAGGCAAAAGAAATACTTCACATCAGCATTTAATCTGAAATTCAGTTTGACCCTTTTCCTACTAAAACAGCATGTGCTATGTCATCACTTAAGGTTTGAGATCCACATAAACGTATCTCAAACTAAGTGGACATCAGAACTAACATTAGAATTTATTTTTATTTTGTCTACTTCTGGGAGTGCCAGCTGATGTCTCCTGCGTCAGCAAAAGCATCTAAAATATTTTTAGTTTAATTGCTGAGCAACTGTAGTAAAAGTAAAGGCTAAGGTTAGGTTTTAAAAACAGGCTTAAGAAGAAAGAATGATTTTTGTAGGAAGATACAACTTACATATCTGGTCCTTCAATATCATCCACAACCCAGATGACTATTTGTGAGATCTTGTCTCTCTGGAGATAAGGTATTTCATAATCTGCAAAAAAACTGATTTGAGAAACATTTGTTTAGAGCTATGTGGAAAAAAATCCCTCTGCAATAAACAAACCTCTGATCCTGCTGTGGGATATGGCCTTGCTTGCTTTTAGATTTGTATCTTATGATTAGATTCAATGGAGTTGAAAAAATCTGATTCATGTTACGAATGTGCACAAAGTGAAACACATTTAATGTGAAGTTTTGTTTTTATATTCTTCACCTTTGAAGGGCTCAACTAAAGAAAGTTATGACTTAGAGGTGAATTAGAGTGAAATGAACTTTAAAATGCAAACACAAAACAAAGACCATTTGATATTTAGCCAAAAAAAGGATTGTTCTTGTAGACTTCTAGACTGAATACAATTTTGTTTTACATAAAATTTAACAACAGCCACAAAACAGATTGATTTTTAGATATGAAATCATAGCAATATTAATAACAGATTTGGTCTAAGAATTCATAAGGCCATAAAGGAGAAACTTCTAGCTGTGTTTATCCCTGGCCTAGAATTAATTTTCTACTTTATTGTCTTGTGTAATTTTACTTTGCTACATAATTATCAATTAAAACAGGATAATAATATGGAAACTAAATCCTCCAACATCAAATAGAAAATGCCAAATCCAACAGATTGTTTTAATGTCTGCTTTTTTTTTTTTTTTTTTTTTTTTTTTTTTTGTATTTTAAACACTCCAGCAAAGATGTAATGTTTTCTGACCTTATCTTTGCACTCCCACCTCCCCTTCCCATCACAATGCTTGTAATGGCTGTGTCTTCATATAATGTCTGATCCAAGCCCCAGCCCATGTGTGTGATCTGATTTGCCTATCATGAGTCTTCTAAATTTCTGCATCTGAGCAAGCAGCTGCTGCATTGGAAAGAAATCACAAGGCTTGGGATGGTTATTGCAGTCTGCTGGTACTGAGCTGAGACCTATTCATGAAGTTAACATGTTAATTTAAACTGTGGGAGGCTTTTACTAACAGTTACCATCTCTAGAGAAGTCTGGTATGGCTACGACTGACCAGAGATCTCCAGTGACAACAGTAGATTTGCCTGTCCAAGGTGTTCAAGCCTGTCTAAAACAGTGAAAGTATAACCAAAAAACAAGATTACAGTTATTTTTTAACTCTTTTGCTTGTTCATGCATACATGATCAGGAAAAATGCATATTCCTCCAAAACATAATGGGATCTTTAACTAGAGGAGCCAGAAGCCCAGGAAGAACAATATATAACAGACTTCAGTAAATCAGTTATTTAACCTTGCAGGAGAAGACCCAAACCACTGGTCGACCTTTTTCTTTACAGACATCAGACCTTCAACACATTATTTTGTGCTCACACAGTTTTCTTACCCTCTGATTGGATAAGCTCCTCCTTCTGCAGAACCATTCAACAAGACATGTATCACCCCAGAACTGTGTTGTGCATACTGCAATACATAACAGAAGATTTCTTTTCCAGAATTCGTTTTACAGATTTTTTCTATGACTTGGTATTGTCTTGCAAGTAATGATGACCAAGGAGACAATTTTACCAGAGCAGAATTGTGAAAATAATGTCAAACTAAAACCCCAAAACCCCAGCCTGCTCATTTCAGTAAAGCTGACAAGAATTATACAGCCAGTGCATGAATTCAATCTATCTTCTCAAATTATTTTCTCAAACCTATAAACAACTTCTTCAGATCAGGAACACTCCTGACCTGAATTTTGGCACTCCTTGGGCTTGATCTTTGGAGGTCCTAAAGTCCCTAGTGTGCTTGTTGTGCTTAGTATATGCTTAATATGTATTAACACAGCTACCATAGAATTTGACCATGTTAGCTAGATGGGATGAAAGTCAGGCTCCCTCTGCTAAACACCATTCCCAGCCTAGAAAAGCCTCTTTGTACCCGAGGAAATAATTTAGCACAGTATGAGACTCAAATCTGTTTTGACCCAGCAACGCTTTCCTAAACCACCAGGGATGTGCTCACTAATGTATAAAGTGTGTGTTAATGCACTATTTACAGTCATCGAAGCCATCCTCCAGAAAGCATCCACTGCATTGTTTTCACATTCTGCTGCAGTAGGGCAGGATTCATAGTCCAGTCCTGTCAGGAAGCATGTGAGATGTACTGTTAAAGACATAATAATGGCTACAAAAAGTGACCTCAGAAAGCAACTACATACAAGATAGTCTGAAATAACACAGGAAACTGTTAACTGTTTTATTTTTTTCTTAGCATTTTCCATTCTGTGCAGTTAACATTATCAGTGACATGCTGTGGACTTGATAATTTGGCTGAAATGGCCATAACTCCACACCCGGGATGCAGACAGCTCTACATTCCACGGTTTCTCTCCTGTGCAGCATTGTTTCACTGTGTGCTTTCCTTAAGTATTCACACAAAACAGGAGAGAAGACAGTGGAGCTACCCGATTCTTAATTTTTAAGCAAAATTAAATCCTCCAAAACACAGCAGTCTGTCTCCATTACAGTTTTACAGACAAGCATACAATATAGCACTCGCTGTCTTCTTACCAGTGCTGTTTTCCTGCCCACACCAGTTTAGAAAATCTCCAAAGAAGCCAAATAGAGTGTCACCAAGAGACATGTAGCGACGAGCTCTGTTTGAAAAGCTGTTGACTAGCAGCTGATTATTTTCCCAGAAGAGAGACTAAATTAAAAAGGAAAACAAAATACAGAAGAAATGAACCACCACTTGGGTGCAGACACAAGTTTATGTGGTGCTGAAAACGTTTTAAAATATATTTTGGTATTTATTTCAAAATCAAGCTAAGAATCAGGAATGTTAGCTACCTATTTATAGGAACAAACTTAATTCTTACAGTGGTGTTAATTCTGATCACTAGAGGCTTCAGGGGTGTTTCTACCATACTCAGATTGGAATCGCATCTATACTAAATATAATGAGGCCTAGCTTTGCTTTCTTCATCAGATATTTATGGAAAGAAAGAAAAAGAGGAGGCATTCATAAGCCAGATACAGCTTAGAAAATTGTCTCATATTTCTATGCTGGCTTATGGTGTGAAAAAAAATTGTATGTTACACTGCTACTTTCATGTTTGCAAAATGCTCTCATTAATGAATCTACACAGTCAGTAGCATTTGTTGGTTTAGCTTGTATCACCTAGAGATAAGGAACAATTATGTCAGCAGAAACACTGCTTTGTGTTACAACCTTTTAAAGAAGGCTAAAACATACATTTTGATGGGATCCTACAGCACCCTATCTCATTTCTGTTTATATGTTTAACATTTTTAACATGACAGAGTTGAATATTCAGCGCCCTGGGATTTGGTGTGTAAGCAGAAGGAGCAGACACAGCCATTGCAAGCAGAGCATCTAGCCTGAGGAAAAGTAGCTGTGCAAGGTCAGGGACTGCAACAGAACTACTGGCACAGCAGGAAAAACAGGAGACATTTGTAACATGGGAAAGGAGTAACAGATAAGGAAGACACACAAATCCCAGGCTTTCACTGCAAAAACAGTGAGGAAGAGGAAATGTTAACACAATCAACCACTGCAGACACAGGGAGAGGCTGGTACAGAAGAAAGAAGAGACAAAGGACACCAGAACCCCTGGGGAGAGGACTGATGGGGGATCAAGGTCTCCTGCAGAGAGGAAGGGAATTGTAAGGTAGTACAGAGGAATATGAAGATTACTGCTGAAGTTACTGCTTACAAGAAATGCAGATAAATGCACTGCACTCAGCTCCAGTTTAGTTTATAAGCTGCAGGTGGGCCAAAATAATGAATTATCAGCCACAGAATGACTTCTAGTCTGTTCTGAATGACTGTGATGGGAAATCTGCTAGATGTCACTGGACTGTTATCATAACATTAATAACCATTACCTTGCCAGCAGGAATTGCGTGCAGTGACAGTTTGAAAAATAATTCAAAGTCTTGAGGTAGAATGTTGCAAGGATCCTTGTTAATAAAAGCATTTCTAAAGGCTTCCCATAACTCTGAACAGTTCTTCTCACTGCAATTGTCAAAACAAATAGCAGAACTGGTTTGTTTTTATTTTTTTTCCAAAGCAGAACAAGAAAGTGATTTGTTCCCCATCTCTTTCAATCCACAAAGTAAATCCCTCACAAGATTAAGACACAAAATTTGCAACCAAGGAATAGCATGTATCTCATTTTTCTCCTCCTTACTGCAGCACCTCTCCAAAGAAACTATGAAGAAGTAAAATGCAATAAAATTAGTTGGATTTACAGTGTGGAATTAGACATACATACATTTCAAAACATACCCTATAAAGTCTTCACAGTGAGCTCTGCTATCCAGCTTGGTAGAAAGGCTAAAAGAACCAAACAGCTTTCTCAGAAATCTTAGGGATTCAAAAAGCCACTTCTGTTAAAGCACAGATAAATATGCAAAGCTACTGAATGTAAAAATTACTCCTCAAATGTCAGATTCCAGTGCAGGAATTACTAACAGTTTTGATGATAGAAAAATGGTTTCAACAAAGAACATCTTCAGTGTAAGCAGATTCGAGGATGATGCAGCTTTAACTTCTGGAAAGAGCACAGAGGCTGTGTGGGACATATACTGTCACTGTGCAGTAGCTGCAAGAGTACTGTTAGGATTCAGCATTTAAATTGCTCATGAAGAGGTGGGCTGAAAAAAGACGCAAGGCTGTGCATTTATTTTCCTTCTGCCTGCTCTGCTTTGGGGACAATAAGCTCTCGCAGAAGGACAGGGCCAGCCAGCCAGGGATGGAAGCATCCTAAATCTCTGGATTTGCATGAGCTCATCTGTGAAAGCTCTGGACCTGCATGAAGTGAAAAAAGTGAATTGCTGCTTTCATCACTTTCCCATGGTACCTTCCCCACTTACGCTGTGACAATGTCTATGCTGGGAGTACTGCTCAACAGAAAAATGTACTTCACATGCACCAAGCGTCCCCAGTGTGAGTGGCTGTAATTATGAAGCTTGAATAAAAGTAGTCTCTAAAAGTAAACTAAACCTAGCCATTAGAGTGTTTAGTTCATTTGATGTTATCCATATACAGAGGGGTTTCTCTTGGTGCTTCTCCTCACGAGATTCTTTAAGCAGCTGCTTTGAGACGCAGAGATTCTATTTAAAGTTAGAGGAGCCAGCTTCCATGCAGGAAAAAGAACTTTGGTCCCATGCAAAGAACTGGTCATGCTTCCAACATCTTTTTAAAAACTAACGTACCTTAAGCAAATATGAGACCTTGACCTGAGAATTTTCAGTGATGCAATATGACCCTTGGTCAGTGGTTCCAATGATTAAACAGCTTACTTGATAAAAGGATTTGCACCCTATTTCTAACTTCAAGCTGTTAAACTTTAGCTCCTGACAACTGTATATATTTATGTCTTGTTCTGCAGAAGAGGTGAGTGCTGTCAGCCCTCACTTCTTCGTGTTAGTGCTTGTAAATTATCATCAGCTGAACTCTTAACATCTTGACAGTTGAAAACAGCAGTAATTTTCTGCTTAATTCACTTGCATTTTTCACTACATGTCTTCTCATCTCAGGTTTGAACAGCTTGTAAATCAAAAAGATTATTCTTCTCTGTTAACTCAAAATTTCTTAGTTGGCAAAAATACTTCATAAACGACAGAGTGGGGAAGGACTGTAGTTCAGGACAGTTCTTCTCAATCTTAATAGACAAAAATAAGATGTATATAATACAATATTTTATATTTTTAATATTATTATATATATTTTATTTATTTATCTTATTTTATTTATTTATATTTTATCTATATTATTATAATATTTTTTCCCCAAAAGCTTTCATTACATGCTATCTGTACAAAAATATGGCAGCTAACATAAGAGTTGTGTTTGTGTAATACAGCATACTACCATTAAACAACTTCAAATATGATTTTCGTTCAAATTTCTCACTTCTGCATTTTGTAAAATACCTCTTTTGCAATTTTGTATGTTCTCTCTTAATGCAAGGTTCTTCTTGCGCTTCTATAAGCATTTTTATGTTTTAATTGTATTGCAGTGTAAAGACATGTTTTGCCAGATTCTTTTCTGTTAGTGAAGTATTTTTGAAAATTATTCTGAAGCAAAAGCTATCCAGGTGGCTATGCCTCTGTAAAAGCTAGCCTGGGGGCAATTAAGAGGCAGACAATGAACAAAAAGGATTATAAATAATTAGAATATCTGGTTTGCAGCTGTGCAATATGAAATTTCAATTTCATTTATGTTACAGTATTTTCTCATAGACCTAAGGGAACGGGAATAAAAATATATTATGATATTACATGAAATAAATTGTGCAGCTGCTCTTTTTATACTGCCCATTTGGTCCTTAATTCAGGAAAGCAATGCTAACGTCCAACCATACTTTATACTGTTCAGATTAAGAATAATTTGATGTGTTCAGACTCCTCAACTTTATGCAGCAAAAATGTCACAAAACTGTAATATATAAATGCTTTCTATACCACTGTAGTTACATGGTAAAGCAAACATTTCCACAGTAACCATCCTTTATGTTGCTCATTTTAGAGTATTCTGATATATTAGTTAAGTCCTGCTTCTGCTAGAAATGAAATGGCATCTCTTAACCCTTGCAAGACAAGATTTGTCTAGTTACCTACATAATTTTTAATTAACATGATTTTGTAGCTTATATTATGTTGTAGTGGTGTAGGAACATATAGTTAAAGCTTACTGATGCTATCCACTGTGATGCATTTATACATTTGCCACGCTGGAGCTGTTTTGACAGAATTTTAGTACTGCATTCTCTGCATTAGGATGAGGTTTTATTTCCTATGGAACTTCAAAAAAAAAAAAAAAAAAAAGGTTCTGATATGTTAAGAAAAATGTTGCTTTGCCTTTGTTAAGTATCATAAGTCTGTTTTCAAGACAGGTCCTGAATCTTCCTGTTTTGCAGCAGGAACTGAAAAAGCGAAGCTGGGGGAAGGTGGTGGTGTTTTCCACTATTTTGTAACTTATCGAATTCTGCACAAGACCACAATTCGATACTGCAGAAATCCAGACAGCTTCCTTCTGCAAATACCTTCAAACTATCAGGAGCAATTCTGGACTGAATTCAAAGCGACTGTCCTTCAGACATTTCTCCTTTTCACTAAAGCCGAAACAATGTAAAGAAGAAAGAAAACGTGGTCATTTTAGGCAAGGGTATTTCCTCCAATTTTGTGTAATTGACACAGACAATGAAAACTCATGGTAATAGTACTTCACTGAGTTGATTACTACTTGATTTTTCACCTGGATGAGCTAAGCAGTTTATATCAGCAGCACAGGATATCTGTGACGTGGTCTTCACCCTCTTACTTGAAATGACCTACAAAACACACACAGAGTAACGCCAGTCTTTCCAGGAGCGCTGACAGATTTGGTGCTTTAGAAACATCCCCAGAACTTCTGTGCAGTGTTCTCTTTATAGAACACCCTTACTAGGGGAAAAAAGTTGAAGCATTAAAAATACTGCCTTATTTACACTACTGGTATTATTGCAACATCCATCAAAGTTCAATTTCTGTTTCCAGAAAGCTACACGTTTCGGTTTCAGTCGGATTACTTTCATGACTAAGAGTCATCATACTTTTGATTAATGACCAATTTGTACAGAAGACAAACACTATTCCAGAAACATGCAATTACTTACCCAACAGCAGGATTCACAATTCTAATATAGTCATAACACCTTCCAACGGTTATGCTTTCCAGGTTTTGTGTTGTACCTTCACCTTTCCATTTTCTTCCTTGCACTTCTGAAAAGTTGTTCATAAACAGAATGGAGCCTAGTAAGAAAGACAGAAAAAGGCTCTTCATCATGAATTCTCTACAATCCAAGTTCTTAAAAAAAAAAAAGACAAAAACGACCAGATTGAATTATACAAGTTAAAGGGAAACCAATTAATATCTTCAATAGTAGCTGTAGCTCTGTACACAGCAGACAAAGTTGGACAGAAACCTGAACCTTGCCAGACAATGTAATCATACTGTTTCCTGAAATGACCGCAACCAGGGACACATCACTTCCTTCTATCTGAAAGTCCTCTACTTCAGGAAAACGAGACTTTTATGGTTCTGATGTTGCCACCTGGTGATAACTGGGAAGAATTACAATATAGTTTAGTATTCAGCGTACTTACTATTCAGCATTCACAATGTAAGTATTTACAATGCCTTCAGTTTGCTTAATTGCCACACTGCAGATTCCTAGAACTCACAAGCGCTTGCAGGCAGACTTCTAGAGCAGTCTCATTTAGTTTCAAGAAAGGGCTGCACTTTTTTCATGGCTTAGGTAAAAATAGATGCTGAAATACATACGAAGAACAAAGAAATTGAAATACATAGGTGCTGATCTCATAACCCAAACTCTCATGTGATCTTGGGTCATGCATATGGATATCATTACTGACTTCCTTTTCTGCCTTTCCACTGGGTACTGACAGTAAAATGTTGATGTGGTGATGTGTGATTTAAAGTTGTCTTTGTAAACAAAACCAGGCAGGATTATGAGAGCCAGAAAGGCTTAAGGCACTTCTGTGCATGGAAGAAATATCTTCAACTTCTGTTCGCTTTTATTTTGCCTCCAAATTCTTTTCCCTCTAGAATTCTGCTAGACTGTCAAATGGTATGAATTAATGCACTCCTCAGTGTAAATATTTCCCTCTTTAAAATAATTTATAATTTTTTCAGCTTCAGAGAAGTTTTTGTATGGATTCACATTTCTGAGAAATGCGGCCTTTCTTTCTGCTGAGCAGTTTCCACATCTCAGCGAATTTTATTTCTGTATTTATCGATATTGTGCTAGATACCTGTGCTGTGTATCTGTACTACGTAAATATACTAACATACATACACAACAGTACCCACACAATATATTATATTGAAGGTAAAATCCTACTTGTCATCAAGTAAATTGCTACTTGTGCATTTATCCTGTAAGTGCAGCTACATTTTGGCTTACTATCTGCAGCAAATTCTTTAGGAAAGCCATATTAGCCCAGTCATAGATGTGCAGTATTGAGCTTAGTATGGTGGAGACACTGCAAATGCTGTGCTTCAGTTACTTCTTCAAGGCTTTTTCTTCCTGTTTCCCTTTCATAGTCTCTAAAGGATGACCTCTTGACAGGTCATTAGCACACTAATCACATGATTTCAAGTCTATTGCTTTGGGTTAGGATTAGACAGTGCAACCACCCACAGAAGTCAAGGAAAAAATTTTAACATGGACTTCACTTTGGACATATTTTGCCTAATTATTTTGGGAATAAGAGATACTGTAGGTATCACTGATGAGATCTTCTATATAGAAGTGGGATTTCTGGCATCAAGATCGCAACTCCTGCTTAAAAATATATACAGTGTAATTTTAACAGATGGAGACAGAGTTTTGGAATTGCTTTTCTTTCTGGACACACCAGTTTAGAACTCATAAATTACATGAAGAAAATGGGGGGGTTTCTCAGCGACATTCTGCAAAAAAAGAATGTTTTTCAGAATGCTGCACAAACTGACTGAACATGACAGAGGGAATGCAAACGGGTACAGTAATTGCTGGGATCCCCACCTCATTGCCTGCCAAGCTTTCTGTCCTCGTTGACCCCTTGGAAAAATACACCGTGGCTGGATGGACCTCTGATCTGACTTGGCAGAGCCACTTTATACGCTCTTAGCTTTGATTTAAATCCTTCATGTGATGGCTGATCTAATAGGCCTCCAGGGTCATTGTTCCCATGGTTAGATAGCCTTAGGAGTCATACCTCTGGCCTGAACTTGTTTTTCTTCAGCTTCCAGTCACTGAATCTCATTATGTCTTCTTCTATTATGTTAATGAAAAATCCAGCCTCAGAACTATATTCTGTGTAAACACTTGTAGACAATGACCAACTCTTCCATTAAACTTGACCATGAAAAATATTACATTTAAATCTCATTATCAGGCACTTTCTCATGTACCATTGCACTTCAGTGCCATGAACTGTCTGTCCACCTTGCCCCCCAAGCTCCAGCAGTTCACAGTGGCTGTGGACCACCTGCCCCTTGCTCTTTCCCTCTCTCCTAGAGAAGTCTGCCCATGAAGCAGTCATCAAAATTTGAAGCACATCTGCACTGGAGATACTCTAGTTCATAAAGCAAATATTTCTTCAGACTACCATGAAATTCAGCATGTTTATGTTCTGACAGCCTGGAAGATGAGGATGGACACGTTCTCTCTTGTTATTTCTGCAACACGTGAGCAGTAACTTCCAGCAGATGGAAGATTAACAGGTGGGAGCATTAATCCTCTGCTATTACTGAGGCACGAACTGCTGGCAGAAGAACCCCAGTTCTGTGTGATCTCATGTTTTAGGCTTTAAAATATGACTTTGGAAATGCCCATATTAGCAAGCAATATGCTTCACAAAACGCTTTTCTTGAGTGTTTGCATTTTTGGTTCATAAATTCAACCTAGAGCAGTAACCCCAAAGTCTGCCCTGTGCCCCTGTATGCGATACTCCTCTATGCAAGAAATGTGCCTACCGGACCCAAAAGCAGAGCTCTGTGTACTAGCCAGGGAGAAATACAGCTGTGTGCTGGGTGGCTAGTTGTGTAATACCTCTGTTTTGCCTTCCTTCCCTTCTCTTGTGTAACTGCTATTTTCTCAGAGGCTTGCATAAAGCTAATCTTCCAAAATTTGTACACCTTTGTCAAATACGATTAAATAGGTCAACATGTTCAAAAGTTCTTGAAGCGGAAAGGATGAATAGAAAAGGCAACACCCAACACTGCAATTGCTTAAGATCATTTCCTCAGATAAAGAACTGAAGGGATTATCGCTTTGGGCGATCGAGATAACCCAGATCACCTGTCCTCTCTTCTCCTTTTGTTACCTCCTGATTTTACAATCGGTGACTTCACACTGTTCCCAATAGCTGGCACACTGACGCGTACTGGGCTAAAACGCAGGTGTGCTTTCACCCAAAAGATTTCAATTTACGGACGGTTCATCGGTTCCATTAGCAGTTCGCTGCTCGCTTGGCACAGCCACGGCAGCCCGGCCGGGACGCACCGCGCTCTTCACACGCACTGCCTCACCCGCCCACCCCCTCTCCCTTCCTCACGCATCGTCTCAGCACCTGTTCATTCTTCAGGAGTGAGAAGCCAGCTTTATTTCGTATAAACGCACAACGATTTTTTATTTAACAGTAGATTTAAGGAGCGCCGATTGCAGCACGTGAGACGCGCGCCAGGCTCCCGAGCTAGCCGTCACACGGCGCGCCCGCGCAGCCCGGCAGCACTTGGAGCCGCTTCCACAGCTCTGGTCAACCGCTGTGCGCACAGCAGGTCTGGCTGGAAACACAGACCAGCCGCTCTGCCCTCAAGCGCAGCTGGCGCCAGCCAGGCCCCGCAGCCGAACGACGAGGAACTCGCCGCGCAGAGACAAAACCGACCCGCCCCGAAGCGGGGTATGAGGCAACGCCTCGCCTTCGAAGCAGCCGCCGCCTCTCACCGCGCACGCGCGTAGCGCAGCCGCCAGCAACCGCGCCGGAGCTGGCGGGGCGGCTGCGGTCACGTGGCGCCAGGCCCGGTGGGGCGCCCTCCGCGCACGCGCGGGGCGGATGTTAGCGCCGCCGTTAGTGCTGCCAGCGCCCGGGCTCTATGGGGAGAACATGGCTCCCTTCCCTGAGGAGGTGGACGTCTTCTCGGCTCCGCACTGGCGGATGAAGCAGCTCGTGGGGCTTTACTGCGACAAGGTAGAGAGCGGGCGGGCCGGGAGCGGCGGCGGCCTTTAGCCCGCTCCTTGGAGGGGCAGATTGAGCGAGTGCGCAGCTGTCAGCGCGCCGGCCCCGCTGCGCCTGTAAGGGGGAGCTGCCGCGGGCTGCCCTGGGCTGCCCCTCCTCCGCGCTCCGCAGCGCCCACCGCCTGCCGCGCCGCGGGCCGTGCTGTGTGGCTTGGAGGGGCCCGGCCGTGGGGCGGGGGCGGCGGCCCTGTGCGTGTCCGTGTGTCCGTGAGCGCGCCCACCGGCAGCCGGCACGCAGCGCTTCGTTTCGATGGGTTTTTAATCTACGAGTGGCTGAGGATGCCCGGGCAGCGCCGTGTGCGTGCTCCTGGTTTCACTGCGCGCACAAAGCATCGAGGCGGCTGGCAGCAGCCCAGTGCGTCACCTACAAGGCGAACTTCGCGTGTAATGGGAGCTTCGGGCGGTACTTGCGAGCTCGCGGTCCCGCCTGCAGGAGCGGTGCCTCCATCGCAGGCCGGCAGCTGTTCTGTGTGGTTTCAAGCGCCGGGCAGCGTTTGGGATGAAGGTGAGGCTACGTGGAGGCAGCCCGCTGCCGCACCGGGGTGAGCAGGCCTCGCCTCCTCCCGCAGTGCTCCACGTGTGCCGCGCCGGGCTTCCGCGTGGCCCTCCGCTGGGCTCCTTCGCTTCGCTGAATGCCGGCAGCTTTCTGCTCTGCTGGCTGAGCTCTGCAGGAGGGCTGCGGGGAAGGCCGGGCGAGCAGTTCGACTTTGCCTTTTTGCTCTGAGCGCCGCTGAGTTTTGTGGGTTTTTTGTTTGTTTTTGTGTCTGCCTGAAAGTTTATGCTGCTGTACCGTAGTAGCGTTTAGACAAGGAAGCAGACACTTAATATACAAATTATCATAGCAAAGTGCAAGGTTTTGCACTTGGGCCGGAGGAATCCCAGGCATCCATACAAATTGGAAGGAGCGGTCCTTGAGTGCAGCCCTGTGAAGGACCTGGGGATCCTGGTGGATGAAAAACTTAACATGAGCCAGCAATGTGCCCTTGCAGCTCGAAAGGCAAATGGGATCCTGGGCTCCCTCAAAAGATGGGTGGCCAGCAGGGACAGGGAGGTGATTGTCCCCCTCTACTTGGCTCTTGTGAGGCCCCATCTGGAGTACTGTATCCAGATCTCGTGCCTCCAGTAGAAGAAAGTCAGGGAGCTGTGGGAGAGGATCCAGAGGAGAGCCACGAAGGTGATCAGGGGACTGGAGCCCCTCCCCTGT